GGCCAAAATCCCATTTCCTAGAACTTTTTTTTTTTTTCTAGGGTATGCCTCATTACTTGACCAAAGGAAAATCACTAATTCTTTGTATGTGGGTACATATACTGTCCACTGTAGTTTTTTGTGTACTTTGTTGACCACAGAAGGCTCCATAAGTGCCCAGCCACAAAGGATTCACTGAAGTAGCCACCATGACTTCTGATTTCCCAATTCCTTTTATTTTCAGCCTAATAAAATTGATACAGTTATCATTACTGATATTATGATTATTAAAATGTTAATAATACTAAAAAATAAAAAGGAATCTTTCCAAAAATCAAGGAAAATGGTAATCAGTATTGATACGGCTAATAACCTACTCCTTAGGGAGCCATCAATGCAGAAACACAATCAATAAACTAAAATCACAGTGATATATGCCATCCCAGCAGACAGGGTTAACAAAATCAGACCAAATTTCCCATTTTCCATGACACTTAAGAATGCTCAAAAATAAGCTGAAATGAGTTGTGAAATAAATACTTGTTTTAACTCATACTATTGACAAAAACTGTAATATCTCCCTCTCCCCTTACCGCACTGTATGTCCACTTACTCTCCTGCCCCCCTCCCCCCCACATCCCTCCCACACCAAAAATTAGAGAAAATAATTAATTACGTACTCCCCATGCATCTCATTAAGTACACCACAAATAACAGTTCTCAATCTTGCAACAATGCACAAGGACCAGGACTAAGAAGTGGCAGAGAAGTTAAGGAATAAATACTCAATATAATGAATATACAACTGAGGCACACTCACACAAATATAGTGACTGTGAACTATTAAAAAAAAAAATGTTCTGTAATATTTTACTTTATTTCTATAGCAAAGTATTTTTCTTTGCTCCACCTCAATAACTACTATTACTTGGTAAAAAAAAGAATACCTTTTCCAAAAAAATATTTTGTTTTAAAGAAAACTATGTCTTGCGATTATCCTAAAAAGATTAACCACATGCAAATGCAACATAAATATGTGTTATAAAATGTTTTTTGGCATTTTGGGAATTTGACATTTAGGTCTTTATATTGCATATCCACTCTATAGTTCTACTTGTACGAAAAAGAAATAAATTGAAAAATAAACAGTAAAGAGAATAAGACAGAGCATTCAACCTGTTGGGCCCACTAGTAAAATGTGAAAGGAACAGGAAATCTGTATTCCTTGAAGAACAGTAAAATTGGTTTCAGTGTGCATAACATGTATTTCTTTTATATCAACACCTAGAAAAAAAAAAAAAGGGAAAATAAAATAAGAATTGGCAAATTAAGAAGCAATATGTTATGTCCATCATATAAAAGAAGTATGGCATTAACGATGGGCAGTACTGCCAGTAATATTAGATATCAATTTTTGTCCAACACATGAATTCTTAAATTAAAAAAATTTGATTGGGATAATAGACTCGGAACTATTTACAGCACATCTAGCAGTACTGGTCAGATACAATTATGCTGATAGTACAAATACCACTTAAAAAGTACCAGCAATCCTATTTATCAGTATTTTTTTCCCCAGCTCTAGTTTCTTTCTGTTACATAGGGGCCACCATTACTTCTGAAGACATTTTCTAGCAGCAGCAGTATGACTCTTAATTGTATATAAATCTATATACATAGTACAACTATTAACCCATTGTCGCTGGGGATGGCATGTACATACATGCCATGCCCACTGTGAGTCGACTTGTCCGATTGTTTTTACACATAGATGGCTACACTTGTACTAAGTATCCAATGAGCCAATTACGAGTACAGCCTGTCTCGCCCATTCACCCTTTTCATCGATTTACGAAAATATTTAACGTTATCCTAATTTGCTGTTAAAAATATCACCATCTATATTTATAGTGCTAGTAAGAATACATTTTTTCCCGCCAATTCAAGGGCAGGTGAAATCAGGACTAGCAGAGCCATCTATGGACAGACATATTTCACAAAAATATAAAAAAATGAGTACTGTATTTCCCCCATTTTTTGTTTATTTTCCCCGGCGGCAATAGGTTAATTGTATATATATCAATATATGTAATTCAACTTTTAATTGTATATAAATTTATATATGTAGCACAGCTTTTAAGTCTTTCATTTGGGGTAGTGGTTTCCAGCCCTGTACAGCACCTCTGACAAGAAAACATAGTTTTCAAATGGACTCAAAACTCAGAATAACAAAATGTTCAAATTCAACAACAGCAAATTGCTTATCAACCAACAATGTTAAAAAAATCAAATATCAAAATGACAATAATCACATGTAGCTACAACTAATAAAAACTTGATGATCCCTTACACTAAATACTCACTCAAGCACTTCCTCTTTTTCTGCGTTGGTGAAGAGAAGTCCGCACTGACCAACAAGCTTCTGTGACAGCTTATAGAGATTCTCGTGAAGTTCTTCCTCAGGCGTTCTACCTAAGGCTAGTGCCATTACTTTATTTTTACCAAGGAAAAACCTGAAAAAAAACAGGAAGAAATAATAAAAATAATCAAAAGACTCACTCTCAACACCTACATTCACAGAAACTCAAAATACATACTCATAAATAAATAAATAAACAAATACACACACGCACACGCACACACACAGATATATATACATATTCATATGCTTTTCTAGTGATATCTTTACTATAATTTTATCACAACTAATTTGACATGTATCAACATTATCTTTCTAAAAGGGTATGAACAAGTATAAATTCAAGGGCACTGTTAGAGGCTAGTAAATATGCCCTCCTCAGAATTAAGCCCACCTACAAGAGCAAGAAGAGAGCCAGCTTCGTTCTTGCTCGCTCAGTCACTGCCTCATGGACCAGCACTCAAGTATATAGAGAAACAACTTAGCATCAAAGTGGCGGAATTAAAGAATTTCATTATCCATTTCACCACGAACATTATACTATTCATTACAGGTGACAGTTAAGCATTACTGAAACCATGAATAAGTGCCAAGAACAAAGAGTAAGGAACAGAAGAAAAGCATCCAGAAAGATACAATTACAATAGCACATTAGTAATAAGTGAAATAATGGCTACAGTTTAAAATGAAACCCTACCTACCTCCAAGTTCTTTAACAACACAAGAAGACAAGTGATAAAAACTATTTGGCTATGTAAGGAAATTATAACCACAGCAATACTATGTATAAGTGAATATCTATTGTTGTTCAGTAACAACAAAGAAACATAAATACACTAATATAAATTTTAACCAGTGTTTCATTATCATAAAGCAAATCATATGCAAATCCTGAATGACAAAGCACTTTGCCCTGCTGAGGCAAAGGCAGAAACAAAGAAAAGACAGAAAGAAAAGAAAAAAAAAAGAGTATAGACATTATATTTTACCTTGAAAAAAATTGATAATAGTTTTTCTGCTGACTCAAATCATAAACTTCTTAGCTGTGACTCATCACCTCAAACAAAAAAGGCCAACATACTCTCTTTAGTCTCATTTCCTATATCATTATAAACAGAGAAAAAAAAATTAAAATTACAAACCTGCTCTGTCCCCATTCTAAACGCATATCTTTTAGTTTGTTCGTTCTGATGTGATGTGCCGAGAAGATATAGATGTGGTCATAGTTGTCAAGAGAATTTCTGATTTCTTCAACTAAGTTCTGCTTCATTTCCAAACCCTTCTTCTTTGTTTGGGTTAGAGAAACTGAAAGAAAAAGGTATACATTAGTATGGAGCATCACAAAAATTGATCACAAATGAAAACAAATGTAGTATAAGACTTTATCTGATAGCTATCATAAGAATAGCTTAACCTAATAACTGCAGCATCAAAATAACTGACTAGTGGCAGTTGCTGGTACACACTGGCAGCTTCTTCATTTGCACCCAGCTCGTTCAGTAACTTAGAACTGTAGTTTATATCTACAAGTTTTAGAAAATTGAATGTTTTCTTCACTTTAGGTATTTGTATCTAATAGAAAACAAATGAAGTATCTAATATTAGAAAAAGACAAGCTCCATCCATAGAACCAATGGTGCACGGTATGTCATCATGCAGTGCTTTCTGCAATTCGGTCCACTACAGCCACTGCACGATTCCATGCCATCAGCATTCAAAGTGTTCAAGTAAGAACTGCACTTTCTGCATTTAGCAAAGGCAAGCAAACCTCCACCAAGAAAATTCAAACAAAATAAGGCACAGACTGGTTCCTTTTTGGTGATAAATCAATAAGAAAGTCTACAACCCTATTTTGCCAGAAGGTAAATACATGGTGGCAAACTGTTGGCAAACTGCTATGGGATGTGAACAGGATGTGGCAACTGTCTGATGCCCCATGACTAATTACCACCTATATCATTACAGTGGTTGGTTTCCATGAGTAAAACTACATCTGGATTATAAACATGAAATCCAATCCATCAATAAAAAAAATCACAAGCATGAATGGGTGCCAGAGAAATTGTTGGGTAAATGCAAAAGATTAAATTAAATCACTGAATAATTTAGCCATTGTGTTGCCTAATCATATTAACTGGAGGGATTAGCCAAGGGGATCTGTCTCTCGACCCCCTCCGTGTTCCCATATCTTCCTGGGCAACTGTTTCATCCACTAAAATGTTATGTACATCAAAAGACACAAATCTGGTTTATTTTGCCATGAAGGATAAAGGTTTTCTGTATCTCAGAAGGCAACAAATTGCTAATATATTGGGGAAAAAATTGGGATATGTATTACTATAATATCTGCACTTAGGGTAAAATCTAAAAAGACTGTCAAAAAGAGAGAGAAAACTACAATCAATGATACATAAATTAATCAGCAATGGCAAAAAATAATGTAAAAAAGTTAAGGAAATCCATTCCTGAGATAGGAAGACTGCCCCAAAGGTTGTTGGCTGAAGAGGGACTTTGTCTCAGAGGGGTGCAGTTACTTTATTACCATATTCGGAAACACAAAAAAGCACTGTCAACAACCTTTGCTTCTGAAAGGGGTAATAAG